GTGATCCAATTTACTGCCCATTCTGTCGTGACTTACTGCACTATATTGTGTTTTATTTTGTTTGTATTTCATACACTGAACTATCTACCCGGATTAAGAGATACACCATATTCCTTAAGCGGGGATTGTATCACTCAAGTACATCAAATCATAGCTAATCCATAGCTCTATATCCTGTAAGTGCATCTCTTTTTACCATACTGTATTCATACTACATACTACACTATATATTGCTCTACTGTCCCATTTCTCTCATACCATCTGAGGACACCTTAAGGCGCTAGTCTCATCTCTCCTTACAAGTAAACATTTTATTCTTTATAAACAAGCTAAAGAGATAAATTACAAAAAGAATGAAAAACTTATACACAGACAGTCCTCGCTTACCAATTGGGTTTCATTCTTAAGACTTAGTCATAAAACAAATTGGTCGATAAATGATGATGTGCTGGAGAGCCTGCGCTAGAGAGCAGGTCTATATTTGGGAAAATTCATCCGAACATAGACTAGCGTATGGAATCCCACAAATCTATGTTCAGAGAAAAGATATGTGTGTATCTATATATATATATATATATAATACCAAGAGGTTCTGCACTCCTGCTTTCCTTAGATATGTTGCCCGATGCTCAACTGCACAATAGATAGATGAATAAAAAAAAGCCAGCACTCTGGGTCTTGTAGAAAACACGTCAACGTTTCAGTTCGTAATGAACTTTCCTCAGGACATAAATGTCAGGAAAGTGACAGGGATCCAATACGCAGAGTGCGCACAGAATGAGGTACGTATACCGGACCTTAGAATGGCCGGACTAACGTAAGGACAAAGCAAGAATAGTCAAAAGGTAAGCCGAGGTCAAGGGAGCCGGAGGACAGGTAAGCGAGATACAAGCCGAGTCAAAGGAGAGGAGAGGACAACAGGACAAAAGAAAGCAAGGGTCAAAACCGGAAACACAAGATAAAGAACGCGCTGAGTGACTAGCAAGCTAGAACCACGACAGGGCAATGAGCAGTAGAAAAGGTTTCCTTTAAATACCCTGTTACCTAAATAGAGACCACGCCCCCAAAAGGTCCGGAATAGCGGTTCCCGGCACTTTATGCAAATGCCGACGTCATGACGTCGACGCTAGCCGTCGCGTCATAAAAGGGGGAGGAGCTAGCGCGGCCGGCGCGAAAACGGCCGGAATATGCCGAAATGCTAGGGGCAGGGAGGCCCTAAGCAGAGAGGATGTCCTCCCTGGATACATCACCAACAGGTACCCTGACAGTACCCCCCCTTCTAGAAACGCCCACCGGGCGGATGGGACCTGGCTTAGAAGGAAAACGAACGTGGAAGGCCCGTAAGAAGACGAGGAGCATGCACGTCTATACCAGGAACCCAAGACCTCTCTTCCGGACCATAACCTTTCCAGTCTATGAGGTATTGCAGCTTCCCCCTAGAAATACGAGAATCAAGGATGGACTTGATGATATATTCCTCCTGACCATCCACACGGACCGAGGATGGAGGAGCAGAGCGGGAGGAAAATCTGTTACAAACAAGAGGTTTCAATAACGACACATGAAAAGAGTTAGGGATGCGTAGAGTAGGAGGTAGATCCAGCAAATAAGAAACCGGGTTGATCCTCCTCAGTACCCTGTAAGGACCAATGTAACGAGGAGCAAACTTCAAGGAAGGAACTTTCAGGCGAATGTGTCTGGTACACAACCAGACCCTATCCCCCGGAGAAAAAATAGGAGCAGGACGTCTACGCCTATCAGCATGTGACTTAAACACCGCGGAACTACGTTCAAGAATTTGTCGAGTCTGATCCCACAACTTTCTCAGGTTGGCTACATGAATATCAACCGACGGTATACCCTGGGAAGGAGACACCGACGGAAGAACAGTAGGGTTAAAGCCATAGTTCAAGAAAAAGGGGCTATTACGAGTGGAACCACAAACAAGGTTGTTGTGAGCAAACTCCGCCCAAGGAATCAGACCGACCCAGTCATCCTGGTGTTCAGAAACAAAACAACGTAGATATTGCTCAATTTTTTGGTTAGTGCGTTCGGCTGCTCCGTTAGATTGAGGATGATAGGCCGAAGAAAAATTCAGTTTGATGCCCAACTGTGAACAGAAGGATCTCCAAAAACGGGAAATAAATTGGGAACCCCTGTCTGACACAATCTCATTGGGAATACCATGTAAACGGAAAATTTCTCTAGCAAATATCACGGCCAGTTCGGGGGAGGACGGAAGTTTAGGCAAGGGAACGAAATGAGCCATTTTAGTAAACCTGTCAAGGACCGTGAGGATAACTGTATGCCTATTGGAAGCTGGTAGATCAACAATAAAATCCATAGCCAAACAAGCCCAAGGTTTGTTGGGAACGACTAAGGGCTGCAATAAACCACAAGGGAGATCCCGAGGAAGTTTATTCCTGACACAAACATTGCAAGCCTTGACAAAGTCTTCCACATCCCTACGTAAACCGGGCCACCAGAAGTCTTTGGAGATCAGGCAGTGAGTTTTGTGGATGCCGGGGTGACCAGCGAACTTGCTATCGTGAAAACAGCGAATAACGTCCACTTGGAATTTGGGGGACACGAACAAGCGGCCCACAGGAGTACGTTCGGGAGCAAGGGATTGTTCGTTCATAATATCAGCGAGCAATGGAGAGTGTATTTTGACATTGGTGTTGGAGATAATATTGACTTCAGGAATAATAGGGAACAAAGTATCCTCTGTAGAGGTGGTAGGTTCGTGCTGACGTGACAAAGCGTCTGCCTTAGTGTTCTTAGAACCAGGCCTGTAAGTAAGCACATAATTAAAGTGTGTAAGGAACATAGACCAACGTGCCTGCCTGGCAGATAGTCTTTTGGCCTCCCCCATATACGATAAATTTTTGTGGTCAGTCAAGATAGTAACTGGGAGGACGGTGCCCTCTAACAAATGTCTCCATTCCTTTAATGCCATAATGATAGCTAGAAGTTCTCTATCACCAATGTCATATCTCCTTTCAGTGTGTGATAGTTTCTTGGAAAAAAAACCGCAAGGGTGCAGCGGCTTATCTAAACTTTGTCTTTGGGACAACACTGCGCCTATCCCTGTTTCAGACGCATCAACTTCAAGTAAGAAGGGTAGAGAGGTATCAGGATGAACTAATACAGGTGCTGAGGCAAAAGACTGTTTGAGCGTTTCGAAAGCAGATAAAGCCTCAGTAGACCAGGTTTTGGTATCGGCTCCTTGTTTGGTCATATTAGTGATAGGAGCGATAACAGAGGAGTACCCTTTAATAAAACGTCTGTAATAATTAGAAAATCCAAGAAATCTTTGTATGGCTTTGAGTCCCTTAGGTAAAGGCCAATCTAAAATCGATTTTAGTTTGGTCGGGTCCATCATAAACCCGTCTTTGGAAATTACGTAACCTAAGAAAGTTACCTGAGACTGGTCAAAGCTACATTTTTCCAATTTACAATACAATCCATGTTGTAAAAGTTTCTGTAATACCTTTCTGACTTGTCTATGATGTGAATTAATGTCTTTAGAATGGATTAGTATATCATCCAAATATACAATTACACATTCATGTTGGAATTCTCTAAGAACTTCATTGATCAAGTCTTGGAAGACGGCCGGGGCGTTACAAAGCCCAAACGGCATTACGGTATACTCATAATGCCCGTAACGGGTATTAAATGCTGTCATCCATTCATCTCCTTGTTTAATTCGCACTAAGTTATATGCTCCTCTTAAGTCAAGTTTGGTAAAAATACTCGAGCCCTTTAGTCTGTCAAAGAGTTCAGTAATCAAAGGAATAGGGTAAGCATTTCTGATAGTAATTTTGTTCAATCCCCGATAGTCTATACAAGGACGTAAGGTACCGTCTTTCTTTTCTACAAAAAAGAAACCCGCCCCCGCCGGAGAAGAAGACTTTCTAATAAATCCTTTGTCTAAATTCTCCTTGATATATTCCTCTAAAACTAAGTTTTCCTTGGTGGATAGAGGGTATACCGTACCCCTGGGAGGCATAGTACCAGGGAAAAGTTTAATAGAACAGTCATAAGACCGGTGGGGAGGTAAAGTATCCGCCTTACCCTTGTCAAATACAGATTTGAGGTCTAGATATTGTAATGGTATCTGAACGTCTGTGGATTGAGAAGTGTTAACATAAGAGTTTACGGGGCAAACAGAAGTAACTCTCTGCAGACATTCTTTCCTACAACCCATACCCCAAGAAACGATTTCTCCACCCTCCCAGTCAATCTGAGGGTTGTGTCTCTTGAGCCAAGAATATCCTAGTACCACTGGGACTGCCGGGGAGGAAATTAACAGAAGGGAAATCAACTCCTCGTGGAAAATACCAACAGTAAGCTTAACGGGTTCAGTCTCATGGAATATTACTGGTTCAGATAAAGGTCTACCATCTATGGCCTCAACGGCCAAGGGTGTATCTCTCAATTGGAATGGGATACAATGCTTATTAGCGAAAGTTTGGTCTATAAAGCTTTCTGCTGCTCCAGAATCTAATAATGCCATCGTAGCAATAAACCCCTTTTCCCAAGCTAGAGAGACAGGAATCAGAAGCCTATGGTCTTTTTTATTATGCATAGAGGACAGTAATGAAACACCCAAGGCCCGTCCTCTAAGGGAACTTAGGTGCGAGCGTTTCCCGGACGATTAGGGCAACTAAGGCGTAGGTGACCTCTCAGCCCGCAGTATAAACAGAGACCCTCCCTTCTTCTGTACTGTCTCTCAGCCTCAGATAAGCGAGTATTACCTATTTGCATAGGTTCTGGTGGAGTAGGATTATAGGAGTCAGGGTTCTGAAATGAGGGAGCGAGTCTTACAGGAAGTCTAGTAACTCTTTCCCGAGTGTTCTGCCTCTGTCTCATGCGTTCATCTATTCTGGAAATGAAGGATACTAAATCCTCTAAATTTTCCGGAAGTTCTCTTGTGGCAATTTCATCTAGAATTTCATCAGACAACCCATTCAAGAAAACATCCATAAAAGCTTGTTCGTTCCATTTCACTTCTGCTGCCAATGATCTAAACTCTAGAGCATATTCTACAAGGGTCCTATCTTGTTGTTTAAGGCGTAACAGGGATCTGGCCGCATTAATCTTCCTCCCTGGGGGGTCAAAGGTTCTTCTAAAAGCCGTGACAAACGCAGTGTAGTTGTAGACTAAAGGATTGTCATTCTCCCAAAGGGGATTGGCCCATCTAAGTGCTTTATCTATTAGCAGGGTTATAATAAAGCCTACCTTAGCTCTGTCAGTGGGGTAAGCCCGGGGTTGTAGTTCGAAATGTATACTTATCTGGTTTAAAAAACCACGACAAGCATCAGGCGAACCCCCATATCGTAATGGTGACGTGACATGGGAAGATGCGCCTACAGTGGCTACTTCCAAACCAGTACTTAGCGAGTGGCTAGCAGTGGAACGTATTTCTTCAGACTGGGTACTGGAGCGTGTTAACAAAGTTTGTAACGCTAAAGCCATTTGGTCCATTCTATGGTCCATGGCCTCAAATCTGGGGTCAGGAGGACTAGCACCTGCAGGATCCATCTGGCCCTGTCGTAATGTCAGGAAAGTGACAGGGATCCAATACGCAGAGTGCGCACAGAATGAGGTACGTATACCGGACCTTAGAATGGCCGGACTAACGTAAGGACAAAGCAAGAATAGTCAAAAGGTAAGCCGAGGTCAAGGGAGCCGGAGGACAGGTAAGCGAGATACAAGCCGAGTCAAAGGAGAGGAGAGGACAACAGGACAAAAGACAAGCAAGGGTCAAAACCGGAAACACAAGATAAAGAACGCGCTGAGTGACTAGCAAGCTAGAACCACGACAGGGCAATGAGCAGTAGTAAAGGTTTCCTTTAAATACCCTGTTACCTAAATAGAGACCACGCCCCCAAAAGGTCCGGAATAGCGGTTCCCGGCACTTTATGTAAATGCCGACGTCATGACGTCGACGCTAGCCGTCGCGTCATAAAAGGGGGAGGAGCTAGCGCGGCCGGCGCGAAAACGGCCGGAATATGCCGAAATGCTAGGGGCAGGGAGGCCCTAAGCAGAAAGGATGTCCTCCCTGGATACATCACCAACAGGTACCCTGACAATAAATACCTTTTACATAACAGTACTGACTATATATAAGGAAAAAACTCACTTACCCCAAGCTCGATCACCTGTGTGCCGGTGTGCAGCCATCACCAGTACGCATGTGTGTTTCTCTAAGCTCCTCCCCCTCCTGATGAAGTCCCTTCCAGGTACAATACCTCCGTTCCCATGGTGATAGTTAAACAAACAAGCCATCACCACAGAGATCTATCATTATATGTGAATGAAAAGGAAACTTGTAAAAAATGTGTTGTATGTACAATCTGTGTGAGCATCCGATCGTTATAAGTGCTCATTCAATTAAGCAATCCAAGGCTGATTAAGCCAAAAGTGTTAGTATTCATAACTGACAAAATAGAAAACAAGATGAAGAAGATAGATATAAATTAGCTGTTTTGTGAATCTTTCTGAAATAGTAAGTGTATACTCCTCAGAGTTATTTTCCCAGGAATAAAGAGCAATTGCTTAAAGTGACAGTGCAAAGAAATAGTTGCTTAAAGTGACAGTGCAAAAAAATTGAAAATACTTATAGTGAATCAAAATGATGCCAAAAAGTGCCCAGTGCAAGTAGATGTGAAGATACATTACCGTATATCTTAACCATTTTATACACAAAAGTACATAATAAAGTAAATAAATATGTATATGGAAATTGAGAAGTTTAAATTATTGTAATCATAAGGAAAATGAAGTTATTGAGACTACTCAGACTGTATCCCTAGGTAGGGCGATTGGAGCCAGCCACATGCTCAAAAGAGAAATATTGTGATCGAGATCTAAATAAACATAAGAAAAACTGAATAAAAATATGGTATTCGCCGGAGCTTATCCTCAGGGGTTCTGCTCCAAAAATCTAACTCCTATACCTCGTTATCCCCATAGACTACTGAGATCCAATATTTTATCATACAGTTCTAATTAGTGATGTACCGAACGGTTCGCCGGCGAACGGTTCCCGGCGAACATAGCATGTTCGCGTTCGCCACGGCGGGCGAACATATGCGCGGTTCGACCCGCCCCCTATTCGTCATCATTGAGTAAACTTTGACCCTGTACCTCACAGTCAGCAGACACATTCCAGCCAATTAGCAGCACAGCCTCCCTAGCAGACCCTCCCACCTACTGGACAGCATCCATTTAAGATTCATTCTCAAGCTGCATGCTTAGTAAGAGGAGGGAAAGTGTAGCTGCTGTTCATAAGATAGGGAAAAGCATAGCTAGGTTAGGGATAAGGGTATGCTTTTTTTTTATTTTATTTTTCTATGTAATGTAAATGCACTTAGTTGTCTGCCACTGCTGCCAGCTTCTGTGTCAGGCTGCATACTGTGCCCATTTCCCCAGTCAGTGCCACCAATTACATCTGGTGTCACAATAGCTTGGATTTAAAAACAAAAAACTTTTTTCACTGTTATAGATTGAATAGCAGTCAGTGTCCTTAAAGCGGGTGTGTTACGCTAACAGTGGATACGCTGACCAGTGCCACCAATTAGATCTGGTGTCACAATAGCTTGGATTTAAAAACAAAAAACTTTTTTCACTGTTATAGATTGAATAGCAGTCAGTGTCCTTAAAGCGGGTGTGTTACGCTAACAGTGGATACGCTGACCAGTGCCACCAATTAGATCTGGTGACACAAAGCTTGTATTTAAAAAAAAAAACACTTTTTTCACTGTTATAGATTGAATAGCAGTCAGTGTCCTTAAAGCGGGTGTGTTGCGCTAACAGTGGATACGCTGACCAGTGCCACTAATTAGATCTGGTGTCACAATAGCTTGGATTTAAAAAAAAAATAATCTTTTTTCACTGTGTGATCCTTGTTTACAGGTAGCACGGTCCTCTAGGGCAAAAACATGCACAGTCCTTGTAATTGCATATACTCAGGCACTTTATTTGTAAATCCACAAAGGATACAGCAGTAAATAAAAAACAAAAGTAACAGAAAACCCTATAAACAAACACCTAGCTCGTCTGAGCACTAACTCACTTTGAACGTCCCTCTCTATCAGGGTTAAACTAACAAAACATATGGCACCAACCTTATTAGTTAGCAACACTCTGCTAGCTAGCCTGTTGCTTTCCTTTCTGCACTCCCAGTGCTCCAAGCCAGCCTTGGCCTGACTGCTTAGCTTTCTGCACTCCCAGTGCTCCAAGCCAGCCTTGCCCTGACTGCTTTCCTTTCTGCACTCCAAGTGCTTAGTCTCCTTGACTCTATCTGGAGAGAATAGCCTCTCTCTCCTACCTGCTTCCTGGGAGGAAGCCAGCAATCCCTCTCCTTTTCCTGCCTAGCCAGGAGGAGTTTATTCCCACTGCAACAGCTGATTACCTGCAGCTGAGCAGTGGGTTGGAGACGGTCCAAAAAACCCTGGCCTGGATCTATGTCTCCCCAGAAAACCACTAAACTGTGGAGTGGAGCACTGGCCCACCCTTCTCTCCAAATGCTCCACCCCAGGGGCCCATAACTAAACAGAGCTTTGTGTAACACACACAAACTACACATACTCCCCCTGGGGTTAAAAGGCCTATCTGCCTTCACTTTATCACAACTGTTATAGATTGAATAGCAGTCAGTGTCCTTAAAGCGGGTGTGTTACGCTAACAGTGGATACGCTGACCAGTGCCACTAATTAGATCTGGTGTCACAATAGCTTGGATTTAAAAAAAAAAATCTTTTTTCACTGTTATAGATTGAATAGCAGTCAGTGTCCTTAAAGCTGGTGTGTTATTACGCTTAACAGTGGATAATGCTTGACCAGTGCCACCACTAGATCTGGTGACACAAAGCTTGGATTTAAAAACAAAAACACTTTTTTCACTGTTATAGATTGAATAGCAGTCAGTGTCCTTAAAAGGGTGTGTTACGCTAACAGTGGATGAAGACCAGTGCCACTCAATTAGATCTGGTGACACAAAGCTTGATTTAAAACAAAACACTTTTCACCGTTATAGATTGAATAGCAGTCGCGTCCTTAAAGTGCCGGTGTGTTACTTAACAGTGGATATTGCTTGACCAGTGCCACCAATTAGACTTATGACACAAAAGCTTGATTTTAAAAACAAAACACTTTTTCTTTCACTGTTATAGATTGAATAGCAGTCAGTGTCCTTAAAGCTGGTGTGTTACGCTAACAGTGGATACGGTGACCAGTGCCACTAATTAGATCTGGTGTCACAATAGCTTGGATTTAAAAAAACTTTTTTCACTGTCATAGATTGAATAGCAGTCAGTGTCCTTAAAGCGGGTGTGTTACGCTAACAGTGGATACGGTGACCAGTGCCACCAATAAGATCTGGTGACACAAAGCTTGGATTTAAAAAAAAATAACTCTTTTTTCACTGTTATAGATTGAATAGCAGTTAGTGTCCTTAAAGCGGGTGTGTTACGCTAACAGTGGATACGCTGACCAGTGCCACCAATTAGATCTGGTGACAGAAAGCTTGGTTAAAAACAAACCACTTTTTTCACTGTTTATAGATTGAATAGCAGTTGGTTATCTTCAAGCAGGTGTGTTAAGCTGGCAGTGAATCACGGTGACAAGTGCCGCAATTAGATCTGGTGACACAAAGCTTGGATTTAAAACAAAAACACTTTTTCACTGTTATAGATTGAATAGCAGTTAGTTATCTTCAAGCAGGTGTCAGGCCTACAGCCTGTGCTCTGCACAACTGTGCCAGTGCACATTGCCACTCATATCTGGTCTCACAGTAGCTTGCACGCATAGTACCACTAATCCCAGCAAAAATGACAGGCAGAGGCAGGCCACCCCACAGGGGCCATCGTGGTCGTGGTGCTGTGATTCCCTTTGGCCCTAGAATAATGCCCAGTTTTCAGAGGCCACGTACCCTGAACTTGAAAAGTTCTGAGGACATAATTGACTGGCTAACACAGGACACCCAATCTTCTACAGCCTCCGCTCAGAACCTTGACGCACCATCCTCCTCCAGCTTAGCTTCAGGCACCTCTCAAGATACCACTCACCCGCCTGCCGCCACCACCAAAACTAGCACCACAGCCGCTTCAGTTGGTATGTCAGAGGAGTTATTCACACATCCGTTTGAAGAAATGAGTGATGCCCAACCATTATTGCCAGAGGATGTAGATAACAGGGGTATGTCTCAGGCAGGCAGCATTACACACATGGGCGTACGGTGTGATGATGATGATGATGTTGTACCCGCTGCTGCTTCCTTTGCTGAGTTGTCAGATACAGGTGAAGCGGTTGATGATGACGATGCGTCCAT